GGGGCAGTGAAGAGAGAGAGAGAGAGAGAGAGAGAGAGAGAGAGAGAGAACCTCGCCTACTAACGCATACGTTACAAACCACTTCTGACTCACAGCCTGTGAATCTGTACGTACTGCTGCGAAACATAACACATAACAAATAACGTTATGAAATGATGAGCTCGACAATTACAGAGGAGTAGCCTACATGTTTAACCAATAACTGTGCGCGTCAGTCAGTTTGTGTAATGAAACAGGTATAAAAGATGATGACAGACAGAAATGTCTGCTGATGGTGTAAAATTGAACTAAGCGCCGTTTCCTGTTCTCAGAACAGCGCGGTAAAGCAATGGGCGTTTTTTCATGATAGGTCTGCTTCCGGCAATAATGTAAACCACGCCCACTGTATACTGCCCACAGCCGACAAACCACGCCCACTGTATACTGTCCACAGCCGACAAACCACGCCCACTGTATACTGTCCACAGCCGACAAACCACGCCCACAAAGTATATAATGCTATCAGTTTTCGAGATTGCGGAACTCTCTCCGTTCCTCTTTCCACTCATTTTAAAGGGGTCATAGGATGCTATTTTAAAGATCATTATTTGGTGTATTTGGTGTATCAGAATATGTTGACATGCTTTAATGTTCAAAAAACACATACTTTTTCAAATACTGTACATTATATAAAAAATAAGCTCATTCTGATTCTGATTATTGTAGGTCTTCTATGCCCCGCCTCTCTCAAACACCTGGTTTTCAATAAAGCCCCAGCCTTTGACAAGCCCAGTCTGCTCTGATTGGCCAGCTGACCTAGTGCATTGTGATTGGCCGAACACCACAAGCACGCGTCGGAAATGTAACGCCCCAATCAGGGTATCTTCCGTCCAATCAATTTTTGTTTTAATATTGAAATCTGAAATCTGAAAAATGGGCACATATTTAGTTTTTCAATTATTCAAACAAAACGAAAAATCAAGAATCCGGCTTAATTTTTCGTTTTTACATTCAGGGATAGAAAACGAATAAACAACTTGAATATTCGATCTCTACATGTGGGCGGGAATGAAACGCCCCTCTCTGCTAATTGGTCAACCAAACATTACAACATAATAATAGTCCTAAAAAAAACCTTAATAATAGTCCTCCGCTTCTATTGATTCTTAACATGTTTATTTCTACTACATTTGATCTCTTCATCAAACAGCCAGATTAATGAATGGCTTGACACAAACCATACTGAAGCAGAGCCTTTTGGCCCTAGGCATGCCTGTTTTATTATAGTTATCCACCTATCAAAATCTGTGTGGAAAAGCTGCGCGTTCTTCTGCAGTATCACACAGCAGAATAATAGTCCTCCACTGCTGCAATTATATGGATTCTTAACACATTTATTGCAACTACATTTCATATTTTTCATCAAACAAACAGGCTAATGAATAGCTCGACACAACTCATACCTGGGCAGAGTCTAGACAGGGCTTTCTTCCGTGTAGATATAAATTCTATTCTTTGCATCAGCTGGGCTGGCAGGGTATGATATGACAGCTGTCTTAGCCTACCCTGCTCACCCATTAAGTCTGTTTGTTTAATTAAGAAATGAATTAATTCATTTCAAAATAAATATTTTAAACACTAAGAAAGAAAGGAAAGAATAATAAATTGGCTTGGGTATATATAGGCCTATGTTGCAAGAACTGTCATTTTGACTGAGAACCAGAGAACAACAGATATTAAATATAGCCTACTGTTAGAGTTATATAATGTAATCTTGTGTTTTATTAAAATTGATTATAATTGATATCTCAAAAGGATATGCACTTGTGCGCAGCGTGAGCTGCCACGCAAGATTTTCATAAAATATAATAACTTGCCATTTCGTTTGTTTCTCACCAAACCCTCAGTATACCTTCAGAATGCTTGGAATATATGCCACGAGATGCATAGGATTATTTTACGACAGATATGCATCCGCTTCAAAAAAAAAAAAACTAAAATCACCATTCTCTGCCTTTAAATTGGCAAGCCCGAGCAGGACATTGCGATGTTGTGAAATTGTGATGGGTTAAATAAACTCAATAAGCAGACAGACGCGCAGAAGTGACGCTACAGTCAAGCGCAGAAGTGCACAGGAAATAAGCAGCAGTCATATTTAAAGCAGTTTAAATTAATATTGAGTTCACTTGGATTTTTCCCCCATCGAGGGAACTTAATACTCTGTCATTAGACGAGCTATTCATTAGTCTGTCTGATGAGAAAAATATGAAATTGATAAAATGGGTTATTAATCCGTACAACTGCAGCAGTGGAGGACTATTATTCTGCTGCAGGTTCAAAAAACTGTCGTCCATAAAATGCGTTGTACAAATTCGAACATCTGGGTTGTGCTGTTCTGTTGTAAATAAATCTTAACCAATGATTCCTAATTGCATCTACTTCCGGAAGGCCAAATAAAGTGCTTTTGCTTTCGCACTGAAACACAGCGTCTCCCTGACATGCTGCTTCAACACTACTGCGTTCCTGAAACCACGCCTTCTTTCTTTCCGTGCACATTTGGGCCTCATTATGCTAATATTTCCACATCGTGACGTAGACATGTGGGGGCGTGTTAGAACGAGTCGTTTTAGGTAGGCGTGGTTAACTCTTAACTTTTATAAAGAATATCTCTTTGGATTTGAGACTTTAGTCTTTGCAACTTTACAGATCTTCTTTATGCACCAAGAGCTTGTAACACTCCAAAGAGAAAGGAAAACTTGAAATCGCATCATATGACCCCTTTAACAAATTCAAATTTTTAAAACTTCAGTAATTCAGTAAAATGTTAGTGAGGAGGAAGTGGGATAAGTGGGCGTGGTCTCGCAGGAGGAGGAAGGCGCATGCACAGCTAGATGAGTCGGTTTGATAACGCAGTGCATAAACAAGTGATGAGGAGAAGGATTTATCGGATTTGTTACGTCGACTACATGGCTTAAGTCTATTGTAAGGTAATGTTGAATTTAATTTAGTAATATTTAGCAGTTTTTAAAAATGTGTGTCGGCTATTTCTGTCAAAACCGGTCCGACCTGTGAACTAGCAAATCGATTTTAAACTCAATCTAGCAACGTTAGCCACTCGGCTAGCCGTTTTAGATCAGTCTTAATACATATGTTTGATTGTTAGAATTAGTTAAACAGTTTAAACTATTATAATTTGTGCGGTACAGTCTACAAGGTAGATGAACAACAGCTCTAACGAATAAACTAAAGTCGGGCTGTCATCGCGATTGTCAAAAATCCTAATCACATTATTAATAATGTACAATAAACGACTGGTTTCAGACAAAATATGCTTTTGTTTTGGATTAGGGAGCTAGTGTTCCTGATATCAGTGTGAATGTTTTGAGTTATTATGTAAACCTGGCTGTGTTGACTGTCATGTTTATTTTGCAGGTGCGCATCACAGATTGATCGATACGAGGACCTCTGAGAGATCACATTTCAGTTTGATCCTGGCTTCAGCATGTGTGACAGAATATTACATAGCAACTAATGATGATTCACGCATGCCTGAACATGCAGGAGTTTTGTTTTCCCTTTGTGTTGATATGATTTATCTTGCCATTTTACACCAGCTTTGTTTCATTTTCTTTTAAAGCTTTGGTCTATGCATTGTATTATATAATTGTAATCTTTTTTTACATCCATCATCATAATGCACGCTCCGGTTCCACCTTCCCCCATGAAACCAGCTGTGGCCCCATCAGTGCAGCTGGGTGTCACAGTTCTTTACACTTGTCTTTATGGGGGTCTGTTTTTAGTTGTGTATGTTCAGCTTTGGTTGCTGTTACTCTACCGGCATAAGCGATGGAGTTACCAGAGTATTTTTCTTTTTCTTTGCCTGTTCTGGGCAGCGCTTCGCACAACGCTCTTCTCGTTTTATTTTCATAATGCCCTTGTGGCCAACCACCTGCCCACTCCAGTCTACTGGCTCCTTTACTGCTTCCCAGTGTGCTTGCAGTTCTTCACCCTGAGTCTCTTCAACCTTTACTTCACTCAGGTGAGACAAGTTAGAGTGAAAGATGTTTGCATATCTGAGAAAATAGTCCACTCCTTAATAACACTTAATAACACTGTTTCACTTTGACAGGAGTCGCTCAAAGTTAGAAGCGTGTTCAGCATTGAGCCCAGGAAAGCACTGTGAGTGGATTTCCATTCTAGCATGTTAATGGAAATCATCTGATTATTTGTTTAACGAGAATTGTGTGTGTGTGTGTGTGTGTAAACTTTGACTTCTAGATGGGTGGCACGGTGTGTGTATGCCACCATGAGCGTCATCTTCCTGTGTGTCAATATAGTTTGCGCAAGCCTCGGACAGCATGGCGCTTCCGGTGGAGCTGGTGAAAACACGTGGAGCCTGGTTCTGGTTCGGGTGCTGGTTAATGACCTACTGTTCATTCTTGAAGCTGTGTGTCTGGCCACATCTCTGCTCCTCTTAACTCGATCCTCGCACCCTACCACTCCTTATATACGCAGTAAGGTACATACTTTTCAAATGCTTAAAGAAATAGTACCCAGTCCTCTGATCCTCTGCAGTGAATGGGTGCCGTCAGAATGAGAGTCCAAACAGCTGATAAAAACATCACAATAATCCACAAGTAATCCACACCACTCCAGTTCACCAGTTAATGTCTGGCGAGGTGAAAAGCTGAGTGATTGTAAGAAACAAATCCATCATTAAAACTTTAAACCATCGCTTCTGGATAAAATATGAGTTTGTAATCCATAATAACGTATCCAACAGTGAAAAAGTCCATCTCCTGTTGTCCTCTCACATCAAAATCCGCGGACATATTTTTTTCCCTCTTGTAAACGGTGCTTGATCTGTGCATATTTCTCTCCTGATTCAGACGAAAATACGTTTTCACTGGAGAAAGCAATATTATGCAGGACTCTTATTTTAGCAGGAAGCAATTTTACCAGGTTTAAAGTTAAAATGCCTTAATAATGAATTTGTTTCTATAAACTTGCAGCTTTTTTACATTAATTGATGGACTGGAGTGGTGTGGATTATTGTGATGTTTTTATCAGCCGTTTCAGCAAATTTTAATTTTTGTGTGAAATATTCCTTTAACCTCAAACGGCAGTTGCAATCCACTTTTACTTCTGTAATCTGAAATGTTATGATATAGTTTAAAATTAACCTTGGAACATCTTTGAATAACACCTTCTGCTAAATTAATGATTAAATGTAAATAAGAACGTAAATAGAGTCAGATTCGATTTGATGTTGATTTGAACATTTACATCCATTATGATCTGCTGTAGGGATGCACGATATATCGGCCACCATATCGGTATCGGCCGCATCCCTAATCTGCTGTATCATTTTCAATCTTATTTGCCACTCATGATCAACAAGACAAACTTTGGAACCAAAAAGGTTATTTGCAGCTATTTATTTAGTCTTCTGCTTGCAGGGGCTTTGTCGGACTGCGGTGCTGGGGGCAGGTGTCATCTTGCTCTTCTCTAGCAGGGCGTGCTACAATCTTGCTGTGCTGCTTTTGTCTCAGAATCATAAAGTGGAGGCCTTTGATTATGACTGGTACAACATCTCTGATCAGGTGGGCAGTTGCACTACATTTTTTGCTAATGGAAAGGTGTTCCTGTCACTGGTCGGTTTGTGATGTTCAGTGTTGTTTTCAAAGGCTGACCTTCAGAGTGAACTTGGAGACAGAGGCTACATTATCTTCGGAGCTGTTCTCTTCATTTGGGAGCTGCTTCCTACCAGCCTGCTCGTTCTCATCTTCAGAGTTCGCCAGCCTCCTCAAGAAAAGGTCTGCTGATTATGCATTTTTCCATGTCTATTACATGTAATTTTAGTTTGTTAATACACTTCCGTTCAAACGTTTTAGGTCAGTTTTTTAAGAAATTAATACTTTTATTTGATCAAGAACGCATTAAATTGATTACAAGTGACAGTAAAGACATTTAGGTCTATGTATAAAAAAAGGTAATACTTATATTCATGTTGGTTTCCTGTGTTTTTGAAAAATAAGTTTTGATTCTAATGGCTTTAAAATGATTTGATCACCACAAGTGTATCAAAATGAATTTTAGTTTAGAAATCCAATCCAAATATGAATGAAAAACGAGTGTCACATCATCGAGCTGTTTGCTTTGTTTATTTCAGAACTGCAGCCCAGCGATGTGCAACACACGAGGCTCACGCTCCTATTTCTTTGACGATCCTCGTGGAATGGATGACACGGGTTCTCTCTGGAGTCACAGTATCAATCCTCATAGCAGGTAATCAGGCTTTATTGCAGCTCAGATAAGAGCAGCATGTGGGATCATTAATGATATAGTGATTAAAACCAAGACTCTGCACCAACAGCTGGTTTGGATCCAGTGAGACGACTCCACTCCTCTTCAACAGGACTCAGCAGAGCAACCAGCACCACTCTCTTTACTCCACTCCACAGACCTGACCGCTATGCAAAGCTGCAGAGATCTTCTCTGACCATCTCAGGCGATAGTGCAGCATTACCTCTTCCTGTTGAGTAGCTCAATGGGTTTATTTGCACTAATACTCATCAGAAGCATCTGTACTTCTGAAGTTGCACCTTGACTTTTTAAAGCTGACCACAGTTAGACTAGATGCTTGTGATAAAAGGAACCAGTTGGCGGGTTTTTTATAAGGAGGAGTTATTACCACATTTACCTTTTCATCATTTATAATGGTAACCTTAAAATGTATTAACATATTATTTTTGTGCAGGATGATGATATTCTATTTTAAGTGGTGCAATAATTTTGGTACTAATCTTGTGCTCTGATATTTGTCAGTTTATTTGAATAAAAAACAAATTTAAACGGTTTCATTTTATAATTTTTTGTTTACAAATTTATGGTGCGCTCAGAATTTGTCTCGTCAGAATCTCAGAAATGACAAAAAAAAAATCTGAATTTAGAAATGTAATATTTCGCTGTAAAAAAAAAAGTGAGTGGGTCATAAAAACATTAAAGGGGTCATATGATGCGATTTCAATTTGTTCCTTTCTCTTTGGAGTGTTACAAGCTCTTGATGCATAAAGAAGATCTGTAAAGTTGCAAAGACTAAAGTCTCAAATCCAAAGAGATATTCTTAATAAATTTCAGAGTCAACCACGCCTACCTAAAACGGCTCGTTCTAACACGCCCCCACATGTCTACATCACGATGTGGGAAGATTTGCATAACGCCGCCCAAATGTTCACGCAAAGAAAGAAGGCGTAACTTTTATTCTCGCTGTAGTATTGTTGCTGCCGCCGCCATGTCGTGAAGACGCTGTGTGCTTCATTGTGAAAGCGAAACTACTTTGTTTGGTCTTCCAAAAGAGGACGATATCCGCTTCATCATGCCTGGAGCTAATCTGTGCTGGTCGCTGAGGAAATACATCAACTTAGTGCTGCTCAGGTCATGCTGGCCCGCCGCCGGCTGTTCTGACTTACAGTCTGTAAGTACGTTTTCATTTAAAGGATTTGCCACTGATGATTCAAACG